CCATCTCACACACACACCTCACACACACACCTCACACACACATACATCACACACACACGCACAACAATATTTTAAAAGGAGAGAACATTTGTCACCATTCTGGGATTCTCCCTTGGATTCTTGAGCTACAGTAGAAGTACACTGTAGTTAGAAGAGTGCTCCGTCCTCATAGGACACTGATCAGAACAAAGGGAGAAGGTGACCACTCAGGATCAGTGAAGACTTGAGAAGCACGGGGCATTACTGTTTATGTGTTTAATGTGTCCTTTGCTTTACATAGTGAAGCTCTTGATTTGTGTATTGCTTTCTAATGCATGTGTCAACTCTATGGCTTAATGAAAGAAAAGCTTCACAGCCAGGTGTGGTGGCATACACCTTTAGTCCCAGCACTCAGGAGGCAGGGGCGGGTGGATCTCTGTGAGTTTGAGGTTGGTCTGGTCTACAGAGCAATTTCCAGGACAGCCAGGGCTACAAAAAAAAAAAAAAAAAGTCTCAAAAAAACCCAAAACAAAAAAGCCTTTGTACCGAATACATGTTACACTCACTGAACAAATGACAAAACCAAGGTTCTGTGGGGGTTATTGCCAACTTGAAAACAAACATCTTGTCAAGCCATGAGTACCATGGTCCTGTTGTCCCATGTCTGAGCTTCGGTTTCCTCCTTTAAAATTGGACCCACAGTTTCTATGATCTACTATTTCCTGCTAAATGGAGCATATGGACTCCAGGCTCTGACTGGGGCCTCTAGGATATCTCAGTCTTGGTTTGGAACAGTAAAACCACAGCTGTTGTGACATTCAGAAGAGAATAATTTTATTTGTTCCCAAATGGCTCCTGCTCCACATAGTGGCTCACCATGTACCCTTGGAGCCATGCATGGGATTTGAGGCCAATTCAGACAGGGGAACTGGACAAGCATGTTGCCACAGCTTTCCCAGAGGGGGCAGAAAATGGTCATTATTCATAATTTACAGCTTTTAAGTAGTGTATATTTCTTCAACTGGGATAAAATCATGACTTTAAGTGTCTGAAGAGAATGAAAATTAGGACACTTATTAACACACATTAACAAAAGTCTACTGAAAACTGTTGCTGTTAAGTAATACAAGAGAACACCGAGGTCTTCATCAACACCAGTATAACACAACCCAAAACAACACTGCACAGAACAAAGGACAATAAGGACTGCTTTGTAAATAATTAAAATATCTTTATGAAGAACTTATAAAGCCATATATTAAAACTTGATTTTTTTTTAAGAAACAGAAACATTTCTCTATTTCAGTACCAATAGTATTTTCTTGGAAAGCCCAAATTTCCCATAATGCCACACAAATTATCTCACAGAAGCTCACCCATGGAAGCCATACTCAGGGCACAGTAGAACTGTACAAAGTGACAAAACCTAACTTCTAACCAGTATTCCAGGGGATCGATTAAATAATAGTACAAAATGGTTGCATTCCAAATTGAGCATTTTAGCAAGATCAATCTCTACCTGGAAAAGCGTGTCATTATTTATTCCAATCCTCCTACCACTTTCTGCAGCTTTTCCCCAGAGAAGCCAATGCCTTTGGTGCATTAATGTGGCAAAGAATGCCCCAGGCAGTGGATGCAACCTGATGATTTTAGGTCCTCTGTCTGGGGCTGGGGGATTACTCTGGGACTGGGGGAAGGTTTGGTAGATCTGGGATTGCAGGGTCCTTTTTCAGATAGAAGGTGAGACAAGTACCTTTTCCCTACCGTGTGCCCGCCCCAGTTCCCAACAAACCTAAAACAGTAAGCATGCACGCCTCCGTCACTGCACGCTTGGGCAGGACAACATCTGTACTTGAAAGCATCTTAGGCACAGGCCCTCGGGGAAAGGTTTTACAAACATTAAAATAGTTCCTCAGCAGAGCACAGTGGTTTATACCCGAAGTGCCAGCTTCTTGGGGAGTGACGTAGGAAGATCACCTGATCCCACAAGTTCAAAAGCAGCCTGGCAGCATCTAGACAGAAAAATGCAGCAAATCTTGTCCATCTACAGCAGTTACCACAGACCTGTTTGTGTGGAAGAATTGTGACACCGTCTTTGCAAGATGCCAACTACTGGGTTAAAATAGTGTGAGACAGCTGTACAGACAAACGCTACACAGGAAAGAGGAAATGGCTTCAGTTTGGGTATATGGGGATATGGGGGAGTTTTCTCTTTTGATTATATTAATATTTGCATGATATCTGCACATTAATATTTTATGGTTTTGTTCCTTTCCCCTTCTCCAGGGGACCATGTATGTCTCTCTCAGAGTCCTCCTTGTTTCCTAGCTTCTCTGGCGGTGTGAGTTGTAGGCTGGTAATCCTTTTCACTATGTCTAAAATCCACATATGATTGAGTACATACCATGTTTGTCTTTTTCTGACTGGGTTACCTTGCTCAGAATGGTTTCTTCTAGTTCCATCCATTTGCCTGTGAATTTCAAGATATCATTGTTTGTTTGTTTGTTTCTGCTGAGTGGTACTCCATTGTGTAAATGTACCACATTTTCTATATCCATTCTTCAGTTGAGGGGCATCTAGGTTGCTTCCAGGTTCTGGCTATTGCAAATAAAGCTGCTATGAACACGGTTGAACAGATGTTCTTGTTATATGAATGTGCATCTTTTGGGTATATGCCTAGGAGTGGAATTGCTGGATCTTGTGGTAGACTGATTCCATTTTCTTGAGGAATCACCATACTGATTTCCAAAGTGGCTGGACAAGTTGGCACTCCCACCAGCAGTTGAGAAGGGTTCCCCTTTCTCCATATCCTCTCCAGCATAAACTGTCATTGGTTTTTTGATTGTAACCATTCTGACAGGAGTAAGATGGTATCTCAGAGTTGTTTTGATTTGCATTTCCCTGATGGCTAAGGATGTTGAACACTTTCTTAAGTGTCTTTCAGTCATTTTAGATTCCTCTATTGAGAATTCTCTATTTAGTTTTGTACCTCACTTTTTAATTAGATTATTTGGTGTTTTGGGATCTAGTTTCTTGAGTTCTTTGTAGATTTTGGAGATCAGCCCTCTGTTGGATGTGGGGTTGGTGAATAGCTTTTCCCATTCTGTGGGCTGCGGTTTTGTCTTACTAACTGTGTCCTTAGCCTTACAGAAGCTTCTCAGTTTCAGGAGGTCCCATTTATCAATTGTTGACCTCAGTGTCTGTGCTACTATTGTAATGTTCAGGAAGCATTCTCCTGTACCAATTCGTTCAAAAGTATTTCCCACTTTCTCTTCTAAGAGGTTCATTGTGGCTGGGTTTATGTTGAGGCTTTTGATCCATTTGGATTTAAGTTTTGTGCATGGTGATAGATACGGATCTATCTGCAGTCGTCTACATGCCAGCATCTAGTTATGTCAGCACCACTTGTTGAAGATGATTTCTTTTTTCCATTGTATAACTTTAGCTTCTTTGTCAAAAATCAGGTGTTCATAGGTGTGTGGGTTAATATCAGGGTTTACAATTCAATTCCATTAGTCAACCTGTCTATTTTTGTGCCAATACCAAGCTGTTTTCAGGACTATGACTCTATGATAGAGCCTGAAGTCAGGGATGGTGATGTTTCTGGAAGTTCCTTTTTTGTACAAGGTTGTTTTGGCTATCCTGGGTTTTTTGTTTTTCCATATGGAATTGAGTACTGTTCTTTAAAGGCCTGTGAAGAATTGTGTTGGGATGCCACTTTCTGAACATAACACCAGTAGCACAAATGTTGAAATAGACAATTAATAAATGGGACCTCCTGAAACTGAGAAGCTTCTGTAAGGCAAAGGACACAGTCAGCAAGACAAAACTGCAGCCCACAGAATGGGAAAAGATATTCACCAACCCTACATCTGACAGAGGGCTTATCACCAAAATAAATAAACTCAAGAAGCTAGCCACCAAAACACCAAACAATGCAATTAAAAAGTGGAGTGCAGAACTGAGAAGGGTACCATTTACCTTTCCCAAATATTCCTAATCAGAAATCATTCCTTGACTGGAAGCCCAGCACACCACCTGCTCCGACATACTATGATATCATCAAGGAGACCAAAAGAAAACTTGCAAAGAACCAAAAGGATTTTAGTAGGTAAGTTGGAGCAACACTGTGGCTTTAAAATACCATGTTTTAGTAACCAGAAGTGATAGTAGAGATTGCCTGAACTTGATTTCTACTGGTGAGAAAGTTTCTTTTTTAACATCTTCTAGATTCCCAGATTCTTTTCTCATGTCAAATGTCTGTGTAGTAATCATGGAGCCTGACAGCTATCAGGAACTAGATAGGTAGGAAGCCTTCCTGTAGGGTATAACCCAACGCAGGAAGAGCAGACCACTAAGCCATTGAGACTGCAGCATCACACTTTACAACGAGGGACTTGGAAAGCAAGAAAGTTGTGAACCATGGAAACAGCGTCTGGAACTGGGGTGGCAGCTGGGTGGTATCGAAGAAACCAAGACAGTGCGGAGTCTCCGAAAATGTTTTCTCTGAGAACATTTTCTGCTTGTGCATGATCTAAGTGATTGTTCCTGGGCAGTCATGACACTTTTATGTGCTAGAGAGTTAGGAATGGGCTATGTAAGAATGCCCATGAATTTTTACAAGAAAAATCTGGCATGATCCACTTCATGATGTCAAGGTAACTGTCTAAAGACTGTTGGCTTTGGGAGAAGGAAGGACCAGACCCAGCCTTGGGAATTCAGTGCTACTCGGGGACAGGGAGATAAAGGAGCAGCCAGTATAGTCCTACCCAGCATGCAAAACACAGTCTGTGCTCCTCCCCCTGTGTGCCCCCATCCCCACCCATCCCCATTGCAAGCATCCCCACATAGTGGGGAAAGGTGCTAGTAAGCCATGATAGAAGCAGTGAGGTGTTGTGTCAGGTCAAACCAGGTGTCGGGCAGCCAGTGCTGCTCGATGCTCGATGCTTGCATGTGTTTCTAAAAGGGAATGTGGGGAGGGTTAAGCACCCCAGCCAGTCCCTCGGAAACAAAGGTCTTATTGCTATATTCCTCCCCATGTAGAATAGGCTGCTTTATTTTTAAATGTTAACTCTAAATGTTGATAGAGTTTTAATTTATATTCTCCAGAGCAAAGGAACGAATCAAAGACGATATCAAGTCCCTGAAAGAGAAACAGGAAAAAATTGACAAGGAGCTTGACCGGTTTGTCTCACACTCAACTTTGTAGTGTTTAAGTCCCTTTTAATTGGCAAACAAATTCACAGGAAACCACAGTGGGTTTGTTGTATAAATATGTATTAAATATCTGCAAAGAGTTCTATCCCACTTAACAGTCCATCAATAGATTGGTTCTCAACCTTCTTAAAGCCACAACCCTTTAATACAGTTCCTTATGCTGTGATGACCACCAACCATAAAATTATTCTTAGTGTTGCTTCATGACTGTAATGCTGCTACTGTTATGCAACATAATGTAAATGTCTTTATTTTTCAATGGTCTTAGGCAACCTGGGGGTTGAGAACCATGGACCTAAAACAACCCACTAAGTCCCTTTATTAAAAAAAAAAAAATCACCTTCTGCCAACTTAATCCATTGCTAAACATATGGTTATCGGCTTTCACTTCAGTCACAGGACTTAGCCTATAAGTACACCCTGCCTGGGAAAGAAAGAAACTAGAAAAACAGTCCTGCTGGCCTCTCTGGGAGGACAGCCTTGTGTCACTTCTGTCCCCACTACTTCCTCTACAAATGCAAACATGTTTCCCCAATGGAGCAGGGATAATTCGGCTGAATGTATGTATGTATGTATGTATGTATGTATGTATGTATGTATGTATGTATGTATGTATGTATGTATGTATGCATGTATGCATGTATGTATGTATATGGGTATAGAATGGTAAGTTCAAAGAGTTGAGGTGGACTGACTTTCTCCACTCAGACGACACAGCCCTTTAAGCCCCCTTGAGAGACTGGAGGTTGGCCAGTCTCTCTAAGTGTTCTGCGCACTCCCTCTCATCAGAGAAAGTCCAGTCCAACACTGCTTTAAAATCTTATCTTACCCCTCACCACAAAACAAAACAAGCTCTATCAGCTACCATCCCCATTTGCAACCCCTAAATCAGGACATCCGATTCCCAGGGACTCAAAACAGAGCCATCAGGGACAGATTCTGTGCGAACATGGGAGGCGGATCTGAATCTGCATTCAAAGAGACACATACCACACAGGAGAAAGGGGAGGTGGAAATGCTCTGTGGATAGATAATCCATCCACCAGTTACAGGAACAGGCTTACCATGTTACCCTCCACAGAGAGTCGTGTAGACTGAGACTCATGAAGAGGATACACAATCAGAAAGCAGGGGTTAGATAGCATAGATGGGTATATTTAAAAAAAAAATGAAGTAAAACTGAGTCTAAGATTAACACACAACTCAAGGGGCGCTCAAGAGAAAGGGCATCGGGGATTAGGAACTCCTTCGGCTTGCTACATCAACTGTAGTATTTCTCAAGTAGTCACTGGCTAAAACCCTGGAAGATCCCTGGGATCCTTTCTCAAGGAGCTTGGCCTAGTACACACCCTTGCACAAATGTGCCTTGGCCTTCCATCTTCCCCTATGCCATTGTGTAAAGCCCCACAAGATCTGGGCAGTGGAGGCCGTTAGAGTATGTGATGTATCTACACTAACTAAAGGGGATGCTCTTCCACTGGGGTGATAGTCACAAGGTGGTAGGAACTAAGGCCTCAAGGAAATGCTTGGATTAAAATCATCTGCTTTCTAGCCTTCTGTGTATGAGGTAGTGATAGCAATGTTGCCTATCTGAGCCTGTTTCCTCATTGATAAAAAGGATGAAAAGTATCCCTGCTCAAAACAGTTGTAATGGGGTAGCTGTATTAATACATATAACGGACCTGTAAGAGAACAGCACATTCAGTCTTTTCGAATACTGGCTGGGAGATGCATATGAACAGTTCTTTGCTCAAGTGGTTTTCTTTGTTCCGTTAGGCTCCAAGCAAAGGCTTCCAGAAGCATCCTAGAAGTGCAAACAGAGTTTGATAATTTTCTACATAAAATGGTATGTTTCCCTGCTGGAAATAATTGAGAGTTCTCTCCACAGCTTCTTGCCTCCAGACCTCACAATGTTTCATAAGCAATGCACGGTTACACCCAAGCTGCAGTGGTAGAAACAACACATCCTTGTCATTGACTGTCCACTACAAAGGGGAGACAATCCATTCTAAAGTATGGTCCTCATTTCTTGCTTCTAAAACAGTCCCTGGGACAGACCCCATAAAGTGCAATTGGGTAGAAACTAGAGGAAATTATTGGTGCTTGAAGTTGTATTTTTTAAATTAATAATTCAACAAAGCTATATGATGCCATCAACTACGTGAAAAGAATGCCCCCTGCCCTCAACTCACCCAAACAAAAGGGAGGCTGACAAGACTCCAAACAGAGCTCAGGTGTGAGGAGAAAAGAAAAGGATGGAGAGTTCCTGTTGTTGCCCTGGGCCCTTTCTTTTCTTCTTCTTCAAACCTTCTGGGCAGTCCTGTTAAGGCTGGAGGATCTTGCTTTCCAAAGGACAAAAACATGTAGATGCAAGCATGCAGGAAACTAGCAGACTGGACTACCTGAGACCAAGGATGGAGAATTCCAGCATGATAGCTTTCCCCTCTGCAGTCCAGACTCAAGAGCAATCTCATTAGCTATGGGTGCAATACCACAACTGGGATGAGTAGTAGTCCTATACAGAGAGGTGCAAAAGCCATGAAACACTCGCGTGTTTCTACTAAACACACAGGATCATTGCTTTTGTTTTTATGCATTATTCCTTATTCCTATCTCTCTTGATGTATGTCCTACTACTGGAGTGCCCCGAGCATTTATCACATGTAAGAGAACAGCAGTGCATTTGTGCAGGAAAGGGCAGACCCTGCAAGGAGCTGTGGAAACCAACTCATCCTGACACTACAGCTGCTACCTTAGCATCCTTCACTGTTGCCTGCACAAATCAATCTTCTATCAGCCTCTCATCAGTAATCCAGACTCTTATACAAAATCTCCATACTTAGAGCCCACATATTCAAATGCTAATGGAACAAATTAAATACATTTGCAGACCAGAGGTGACCTGTTTTCCTGGTCTGGGTGCTGCCAGGTCTAGCCAGTGCAGCTGACATGATTCTTCAATGCTTGTTAAGGCTAGAGCTTTCCACATACCCTAAGTCTGCAGGCTACACTCATGCTCTGCTGGTCTGCACTGCCTACACTAGCTTTTAAATTCTAGTCACCCTTTAGTGTCACATTCAAAGTCCATTTCTTTATGAGCCTTATGCCCTTGGTTCTATTCTGATTCTTCAACGAAGAGCTGGATATGCCTCATAATTTGTAGAATACCAGTTGCTGAAGCAGTTCAAAGCAGTTCTTAACAGACAGGAAGCCAAATCAGAGTAGAATAGTTTCCATGGACTCTGTGCCTCCCCAAAGACAAAACACCGAGAATGGCTGTGTCCCCCATAGAAGTGTACATACTGAACACTCAGAAACTGTGTCCCCATGAGGTGTGCACACTGAACTGAGGTGATATATTAATAGTTTATGATTTATTAAAGCCACTGGAGATCAAAATATCAAAGCAGCCATACTAGTTAGCCATAGAAGCCAGGCACACCCCTTTAATCCTAGGACTCAGGAAACAAAGACAGATGGATTTCTCTGAGTTCAAGGCCACCCAGGACTACATGAGATGGGATCAGGCTAAAAGAGTAACAGACCTCATGCCTTTAATCCCAGCCCTAGAGAAGTATATACAAGACAGGAGCCCAGTGTCTTGGACTGCATTCTGAAAGTGGTCTCTGGCCATGTTGAGGACAGCATTTCAGTCTGAGTGAATATGAGGAGCAGTGAAATCGGAAGCATTCTGAGGATTGCCCCTTCAGTCTGAGGTAGAGGTAAGAGCTAGTGGCTGGCTGCTTTGCCTCTCTGATCTTCAGGCAAGCTTTTATAAATCGTAAATAATATATCCCCACACTGAGCTCTTAGAATGACTGTGTCCCTCTGGAGGTGTGCACACTGATTAGTTAGAATTACTGAGCATTACCCTCATCTTCCTAAGAAGGAATGCCATGGTGAAAATCATTAAATGGACTAACAGCAGTCTCATATGATTCAATTTGTTTTTTAAGGAATTCTAAACCAACCACAAATTATTTGTAGGGATACGGGCCATTAAAACAATGCAGCATTATAAACAAATTCAGTTCTTAGATTACTATGCTTAAGAGAACTCAAATTTTTTTCCACAAATTAGATACAAGGTTGTCCAGGTATTTAGAGGGAACTCTGTCAGGAGTCGGGTTTCGGGTGGATCTTAGTTTCCTAGTGACTTGTTCTTTAAGACATTCTACAGCCTGCCTAGATCGTTTAGAAATAGGCAGCTGATGAAACCCAGTCACTGAATGCTGGTTCATGAGCCAACACAACCATATGAAACAAAAACTGTGGTGATATTCTGGATAATTCCAACCACAATGCAACTGCTGTTTCTGTCACAGGAATATTTCAGCAAGCCCACTTTGGTCTATGCACTCTATAATGTAGCTTAGAAAGGGCTTCTGGGAGTCTGCCACTGGTATGTCATCACATGACCAGACACTTCTGCCCACTCTTGAGAAGTGTCCTAAGTGCTCATCCACCACTGTCAGTGTCAGTCACACTCTAGGCTTCTGCATACTCACCCACACATCTGCCCTACACTGGACCAGGAGCACAAGCAAGCCTTGCCAGACATCCAGAAGAGGGGTGGATGGGTGGGGCTGCCAGAATAGGCATGTCTCTTAGATTGGAAAGGCATTTGAGAAATGGTAGTGTGAGTGAAAAAAAGTCAATTCAAATTTTCTTCTGAAATCTATCTTTTGGGCCCTCCCCCAAAGTGATCTTCTCCATCTTCAGAGACATAGGAATCTCACATTGTAGTATACTGTGTGTGTCTAGGAATATTTACAAATCCTTAACCATGTACTACTATGTTCATAGCGTATTGAAGCTAAACTCCAGAAGGAACTTAAAGGGTCATCAACATCACCATCCTTAGATTCATCACAGCCATCACAACCATCGAAGTCATCATCGTCCTTATCCACTAAGAAGTCCTCATCCAAGTCAGAAGATTTCAACCAAATGGAAGAGGGCTAAAGAAAACCAGCAGTGACCACCATTCAAGAACAACACACAAAAGTTCAGCTGCATCAGTTTAATTGTAGCAGTGTTCAATTGAAAGTACATTTTGCTATTCATCTTTAAAATCTTCAAATCAATAAATCTCAGTCGTACTTTAGAGTTCTACCTAAGCATATCCTTGGCTGTGATTCATAAAAACACATTTAAGAGAGAAAAGCAGTCATTATGAAGCATAGCTTTCACTGTTAGAAAATGCATCTTGATAATAGCAATCGCTCCTCATAACAAAACAGAAAAGGGACTGATTTACTGCAGCCCAGACGTCTCGCCAGCTCCTAAATGCCCCAAATAGTTTCTCCGAGATGTTTTACATTGTTTGTTTAGGCCTCAAGGAAAACCAAGGCCCCACCTCCAGGTTTGGTAGCAAACAAGCTGTGCTTCTCCAGAGCCAAGCTGGAACTGTTCCTCTGGTAATAAGCTTCATGCACGTTTGTGAGGAAGCTGGACAGCACATCAGTGGGCACTATAGACACTGTGCAGCCTCCCCAGCCTGCTCCAGTGAGTCGTGAACCTTTGGCCCCAAACTTCCTAAAACAATGAGAAGAAAGACACGTGATCACCTATAAACAAAGACAAGGGCAGTTTACCTGTTGGAGAACACATCCCCTTCCCAGGTTCTATGAAGAGAGTATGGAGTGAGGGGGGTGGGAGAGGAGGTGAGGGGGGGAGGTGGGGAGGATCAGGGATTTAAAGCCTTAAGAAATATATATGGTTCAGAAGATGACAGTGTCTGCCACTCAAGTAGACACATAAAAGTTGGGTACTATAGCCCACATCTGTAACCCTAGCATTCAGCATTGGTTAGAAGAGGTACAGGCAGGCAGGTCCCTGAAGCTCAGTAGCCAGCCAATCTAGCAGAATTATGAGCTCTAAGTTCAGGAGGGACTCTGTCAAGAAAATAACATGGGAAAACATAATTTTAAAAACATATAAGGAACCTTTGGCCTTTACACATAGGTACACATACACAAATGTGAATCCACAATCCTAAACTGTATATAATTTACCTTTTTTTTTTTCAGTTCTCAGGACCGAGAAACTTTTTAGTGATATCTGAAGCTACTTGTGGTATTGAAGGTAAATAATAACTAATAACAGTACAGGTCTGGAACCACCCACTGTAGGCTTGATCCCATATACCCATATAGTAGCTGCTTGAAAACTTGTGTAACAAATCTCCAGTTAATCAGAAAGGGAAGTAAAAAGAAGGTGGGCAGGAGACATGAATGCCATGAGGAATCAGAACATCACCTCAAAAGAGGGTAAATTAAAATCAGTATGTATGACATAATATCATCCATTAAGTTTCAGATGCATTCTGTTTTGTTGTTGAGATAGGAGAGGGATGCATGTGTACACAGTCCTGTGTGTGCACATCCACAGGTATACAAGCATCTGGTGGCCAAAGGTCAACATCTGATACCTCCCTCCATGGTTCACCACTTTATTTTTGAATGCAGGGTCTCTCACTGATCCTGAAACTCATTGATTCCTCAAGGCCAGCTGGCCAGCAAGCCCTAGAGGTTCTTCTGCCTCCACTTCAACAGTGCAAAGGCTGAGGTATTTGTTCCTATAACTGCCTTTTTATGTGGGTGCTAAGGATCCTGACCTGGCTCCTCAGGATCACACAGCAAGCGTGTAACTGACAGAGCCATCTCCAGCTCTCAGTTGTGTTCATAAGGGTTATCCATTTCACATATCAAAATCAGACTATAGGGCTAAGGGCTGGGCATGTAGCTCAGTGGTAGAAGGCTTGCCTAACATGTATGAGATCTGGGTTCAATACCCAACACCACAGTGAGGGGGAAACCAGTCCCCCAGAACTGACAGCCTAGGTTTATTCTTCATAAATTTATTAACGCAGAACCTGTTAGTAAACTCTAGGTTGGTTGGTTGTTTACTAACTAATGGAAACAACACTATAAACTACCATGTAGCCAGAAATTGTTGTAGACACCATCCAAACATATTTCCAATTAATTTTTCCTAATGAAACTTTAATAATAGATTTAAAACTTCATAATTAATTTAGCCCAATTCTGTCCCCTTTCCTCTCTACTTCCTGGAAGACATCAACAGAATGAGTAGAACATCCCCCCCCTTTCCAGGAAATCAGGATTACTACACATCAGCTACTCGCTTTTCCCTCAGTGACACTCTCCAGTGATTACATCATCTGTTGTATTCAAATATATTTCCTTAAATGTGAAAACAGTGCTTACCAACCATAAAAGATTACCCGTCTTCTGATGGCCCTCAAACAGCAGCCTCCTAGCTAAATTAGGCCCAAACTCCTATCATCAGGCTGAAAAGTCCCTTTACTCATGAGACTCTAGAAGCTAGAAAAGGGCTTGTTTGTAGTTCCTTGGTTGAAAAGAGAAACTTGGCCATAAATGGCCGCATCAAACACTTATCATAGCTGAAGAAGCTGGGAGAAATGGGAAACTCCTTGAAGCAGCTCGGAAAGATCATTAAAGGCAACCACAGCCTGGTCTAGATGACAGCGGGCCCACTTGACGCTCTAAGAGCACAATCCACCAGGGCTTTAACTGCCTTGCATGGGCCTTTTAGGCATATTTTCACACACTTCTGTTTTGAACAGTTTGAGCAGAGTGGCTGTGCACACATGGGAGGCAGAGGATAGATGACTACAGAAAGCTTGTGTCCAACCTGTTTCAGGACAGGAATACAAAGTGAGAGCCTGTCTCAAAACATAAAAAAAAAAAAAAAAAAAAAAGTATGATTTCAAAACAGTGTTGTTTCTGATCTAGCTGCAAGAGATCCAATCCATTTTCCCAAACCATCTGTCAGTTCACACTGAGCAGAGGCTAAGAGGAGACCTCTAGGCAAACTGATTTGCTTCTGAATGTCCAAACTGCTCTGTGGCCACCCTGCCTGCTGCTGAGGAGAATGGGCTACGCTGCTGCATCAGCTCATGCTGTAGAATCATCAGAGCTCAAGACTTTCATCTTCTTTTCTGTTTTTTAGACAGAAAAAAACAAGGAATTGACTGGGAGGAGATGAGGGGGAGGTCTGTGAGGAGTTGGGAGAAAGGAAATAATATGATCAAAATATGCCATGTGAAAAAATTAAGTAAAAAAGGAAAAATAAATGCTATAACACATAGCCTTCTGTCCACGGCCAACAGCATGTGTTCACAAACCAGAAGTTGCTGTGTCAGTAGTCAACAGTCTGCCTTGTTCACACACACACACACACACACACACACACACACACACACACACGGGGTGGGGGGGCTACAGAAGTCTTAACTGCAGTGTTTCCCACTGATTCTTTTTGTTTGTTTGTTTGTTTTTTATTTTTGTTTTTGTTTTTGTTTTTCAAGACAGGGTTTCTCTGTGTAGCTTTGGAGCCTATCCTGGCACTCGCTCTGGAGACCAGGCTGGCCTCGAACTCACAGAGATCCACCTGCCTCTGCCTCCCGAGTGCTGGGATTAAAGACGTGCGCCATCAACGCCCGGTTTCCCACTGATTCTTAATAAGCCCTTTGCATATGTCTCTGAAACTACAAGGAAGTTCTGAAGTTGGGACACCAACAAAGGTGTTAAGTTAGGAAGGAAATACAGAGGAGTCAAAACCTTCTTACATTTGAAGTTCTGAGAAAATAGTGAAAAACTGAAAATATATCTCCTTCACTATAACATAATCAGAGAAAAAACAGGAGAATCTGCAAGAAACAACCCTAATATGTCACACATGCCATCGTGATGATGATGGAGATGGTATAAAAAGAATTGTTAAAACAACATGGCACAGCAAAGGGTTGATAGAAAACCCACAACTGACTGTCGGCCCGTTACAGTCTACCCTAATATCCTGCTCTCAATGAATCTGAGACTGGGGAAAAAAAACCTTTGACTGGGATGTAAGGCACAGGGCAACAAGTGGCAGGGGACAGAAAGACGCAACTGCTACAAACTAGAAAGAGAAAACTACAAATTAGGCCTTGCATCTCAATTCATTTTCAAATATTTATGTTTTATACAAATGGGTGTGAATTGCTTAGGGAAGCTGGAATGTAGAGACAGTTCATACCCATCTCTGCCCAGAACAGGCACAGCTCTAGGTTTTTGGCAGGTTGTAATCCATGCAGCTGGATACCTGTTTTAAAATACAGATATTATGTTGGATAAATACAAGCAATGTGCAGTGTCTCCTTCACTGCAAAGAGTTCCAGTTTCTCTTCTTTGGGAACTGGCAAGCATATCAGGAAAATAAACCCTCCAGCACAATTTCTACAAGTTTTTATAGTTAGACTACAGACAACATTCTCAGCCTTCCCATGTTGCTGAAGCAGAAAAGAATGAGAAAACATTCTGTTTTTCAGAATGTGGGGCACCAAAGAGAAGAAGGGCTTTTGTTTGAGCAAATAGAGTGTAGTATAGCAGTGTTCCTAAAAGTCCTTCCCAGGGGGAAATTAAGCAGCATCCACCCTCTTCGTAAGGTCCCAACAACAAGCAGGTATAATTTCTCCAACGTTCACCTGGTGGGAGGCAATCAGTGAGTTTATTGGACTTCTTTATATGGCACAGGTAAGAGATATCTTATTGGGATGTGTGTGTTCAAGTGTTCCCCAAAAGGCTGCACCTAGAAAACCTTTCTGCAGCACAGATGAGGGCTTCCCTTTGCCATATGGAGAACCACCTCCTTTATTCTTCCCAGGCCTTTATAATCTAGCTCCTCCTTGGGCCAAGTACAATTAGGGCAGGGTTGGAGGTAACTGGACATTCAGGTGAGAGTTTGTGATCCTCCCATCTCCTCCATGGAGGGGTGTAAATGGTCACAAGTCTAACCAAAATGATCTTGCAAGCTGTCACAGATGAATGCCCCAAGATGGCTGTTGCTTGCCTCAGAGAACAGTAACTCACAACACTCTGGAAGTGAAAGGCATTTGCCCAAAGAGATGTGAGTCCCCTGGGACAGGTAGAGTGGTACTCTCCATCGTCCATGGCAGGGCATAAAGGCCAGCATGTAGCTCAGTGAAGATCACACATGACTTTGACTTGGTGAGGAGGGGCTCAGGAGGCTGAGCAGCTTAGCTGTGGGATCAGGGCTGAGAGAAAACTTCTGAAGAGAGTCAAGCAAAGGCATGTCTACATCCATTCTCATCCTGCAAACATGCCATTTGTCTTCTTTAGTATCTTGGGCAATAACAGCAATAATATCGTGAGGAATCCTTTCTAATTTCCACAAGTGACCAAAGAGAAACAAAAAGCATTAGGCTTTTTTTTTTCTTAAGTAAAGTTTAGGAACTATTAACAAATGAGCCATCCCACATGTAACCTACTTGGCTTCAAAACTGTTCTGTGTTCCTCAGGAAATCTTACTTTAAAATTTAAATTTATGGCTCATTCATTTAAAATAGACATTTTATAAATGGGCAAAGATTGCCTTCTTCCTTCATTATTTCATCTCATCTAATTAAGATTCTAACATTAATTTAATTTTTAAAAAACCTAACTACATAAGTGTAATTTCCTTCTGGTATTTTCTTTTCTCTTTTTTGACGGGTGTCATCCCGAAGCCCCTGGCTAGACAGGAGCTCTTATGTAGCTACAACTGGCCTTGACCTCCCAGCAGTTTCCATGCCTTGGCCTCACAGGCACTCACACTCTGCTTTGGGTCCTTTCTCTGTGTTTTAAACTGATTGTTCTCTTCATGAGTAGTAAAAAAGAAAAAGAAAGAACAAACATCAGTATTGTCTTTATTTTGTCCCTCTGCTCCACTGGGGTCATGAGCGTGTTCTTGATGCTGTCCTGACTGACTGACTACTAAGGACAACCTTGGAAAAGCAGTGTACCTCAGGGCACACAAACTTCCATTGTGTGTTTGTTGTGTGTGTGTGGGGGGGGAGGTGTGTATGGTATTCCCTCAACTCAACTACATATCTTTTCATGAAAATAATTTCCAAAAAGTTTTCTCAAACATACAGAAATTTGAAAGTGCTACAATGTAGCCAAGCGTGAGGGTAGCAAAAAAAACGTCAATGGCAATCCTCCCTGAACCCATTTCCACTTCCCATTCCCTCATTTAGTCCCCAAGGACCAACAGCTCAGGCTGCCAGTCTCTAGGTGGTACCTTTTCTGGGTGACAGGGAAGTCTTGGGTGGTGCCAGGAGTTCCCAAGACCCTTCCAGTACTTGCAGCATCTCTGTGTCCGGCGTGATAGCAGGGCACCTGGGGCGTGAGGGCTTTGATAATCTCCACTATTCTTCTGACCTCCCATGCTCATGCTCACTGTTCTTCTGCTTCCCTGTCTTCCCCCGGGTTTGGTTTTGGTTTGGGGTTTTCCATTATTTTCCTTATTCCTAGCATCTCTAGCAGTCTTCAGCACCCATTTCCTGCATTATCACTCCCCAAACACCAGTATAAAGTCAGAGCCTTGGCTTCTGTGTGAGATCACTGTGTGAGATTCAGGATGACTTTGAGTAAGGAAGCTGGCAGTGGCAGTGTTGCCCGCTGCCCTGTGACTATCCTCCCAGGGCCCTGACATGAGGATCTGGCACTAACAACTAGGACGTCTGCACTGCACGTGACATACGGTTACATAACAGCAAAGAAATAGTCATTACATAAGTGGCCTACCAACCCAACTACTCAAGCCAACATTTCATTATTCTAGAAGATAACCTCTCAATATGGGAAACAGAAGGATATGGTTATGGAATAAGCCAAAATTCATCGGAGTCCTGACCTGGAGGCACACAACCTTAATCCCAGCACCTGGAAGGCTGAGAGAACAGTCATGAATTCAAGGCCAGCCCTGACACCATCGCAAAAAGAAACAATAAAAGGAAAAGGAGATTGGCATACAGCAATAAACTATAAACAAAAACAACCCTTTGGGGGCTAGGGAGTGGTAGTGGTGTGTGGTAGAATACTTGCTTAGCACCTAGGAGGCTCTGACTTCAAACCTGAGCACCAGCATATAAAAGTGGGCAAAGCTCCTTAATCTAGACAGCTAATACTTTACTCAGAAAACTAGTGCAGCAGATATAGAGTCTACTCAGAAACACTTTAATCAACATTAATTGCTTTCTAAGAGGGATGCCCGGCTGTTCTCCAAAGGACCCAAGTTCAGTTCCCAGCACCTGTGTCTGGCAGCTGATAACTTGACACCATCTTCTGGTCTCTGAGGGCAACTGACTTTATACACACACACACACACACACAATTTTTAAAGAGTTTTCCCAAACAAAATTTGTAATTAAATAAAAGGTATGCTTCCAAACTCATGTAAGACGCACTCTTAAAATCTCTCACTAGAATCACAAAGGGTTCCATCAGAGATGGTCACTGGACATCACAAGGCAGGTGGACCATCCAAAGTCAGCACCCTGGATGAGAAGAAACAGAACTCAGCCTCAGCCTCCTACTGTCCAGTCCGCCTCCTACCACATGCCACCACCCTGCTCCACCAGGCTTTGCTCCAAGTTCAAATGCTGGAAACCATGACAACAAGCTTCTCACTGGAGAGCTTCAGAGAAAGGAAAGAAAGCATTAAAATGGCCCAGGGCTGAGTGTGATCTATCTCAGCACAGCCCACGGGGAGGGCAGCAGGTGTGAGAGCCAGACTCCCCCACCAACTAACACTCTGTGGGAAGCTGCTCAATTCACTCCCCAGCCTGATGTCTTTCTAGATCCATTTCTTCTCCTGTTCTTCTTGCTATGATGCCCACGGCACTATGAGGTAATTCTGACCTAGAGTTATGAAAAATAGCCACCCCCTAAAAAACTAATTATAGACGAAAAGAGCATTTTCTCACTCAAAAAATCAGCAGTCCTCTTGATTCATCTTTCTCCCACACAGCAAAGGTCTAGAACCTTCCTTCAAGAGTATCTGGCACTGGATCACTTATTATATCTGTTGCCCCTCTCTCTTCTGGAAGCCAGAATCCTTCCCACAGCTAATAATGTGGTCCATGCAGTGTGAATCCCTCCCCAGAAAACAGTGTCCATGCAGTGTGAATCCCTCCCACAGCTGATGGGGTCCCTGTAGTGTGGGCATGTCCATGGCCTCTTTGACTTCGCCTGTTGCCCTCTCCTTCCTACCTGCTGCACCTCATCCATAATAGCCTGTCTGCTTGTTGATCCTTCCAGTCTCTACTCAAGTGTCACTTTCCTACAGAAGCCTTCTCCAACGCTTGCATGTAAAGACTGCCCTTCAACCCCCGCAGTCACTATCTCTTCCAGCTTCTGTCCACAACATTTATCATAAGCAAGCAAATTATTTCTTAATTCTCACTGGTCCCTTTGCCCACAGAAATGCAAGCCAGTGCTGGTGACCATCTTAGGAGAAGAACGCACATTGGGGAATTCCAGGAGGTTGGCAGATCCCCTCCATACTGCTTCTGGGAGGATTCAAACTTCCCACTGCTTCCTGTCAGACACTTACTCCTCATTTCCGCCTAATCATTCCACTTCCTCTATGTCCAAGACTGAACAGCATTTGTCTCTTCCATTTACTGGGCCCTGGATACTTTTTGTAAAGAGAATTTGAAATAAAATGAGCTCTGAAAGGGGTTTTGGCAATAGTGAGCAAAAGCTGCCGTCAACGGAAGTGCCTCAGCCATGCCGTGTGCAGGCTCTGGACAGGACAGGCGGGTTCCACATGCCATGTGTGATCCACTCGAGCTGCTTGGTTTGAACACTCTGGCTGGGTGTGGCATGAGCCTGGCAAGCCACAGGCGCCAAGTAACTAATTACATTTCCATTGCTAGTTGCGTGCAGGGCTGTGTCATCCTGTCAGAGTGAGCTAACACAAGTCACCTGATTCCCCTCCAATTTCCCTTTCAGTTCTCCAAGGACAGTGTGGGACCTCCCTGGTAAGAGCACTCTATTATTCCCATTCTTGCACAATTACAGCAGCCAGGTCTAGAGGTTCCGTGAAGGAGACTCTCTCTTCGCACTCCTGTCCCAGCCAAGTTTATAGAAATGGCCTCTCTCTGGTCTTTATTTCCCCTGACTGCCCAAAATAAATATGGCAGCCCAGGAGATGGGGCTTTCCAAGTGATTCTTCCAGCCTACCTCCCTCAGTGGAACTCTCAAGTTCAAGAGCTTTTCTGACTCTCTCTCCTGGACAGAACTCCATTTGGGTTCCTAGGGGTTCGTGAAATACATAAAAAAACACCCATGTCAGAGACAAGCTGCCTTCCTGTGAGGTCGAGTCACCTAATAATGGAAACTGGCTCCAGACTGACTTCTGAGCCCCACAAAGGAGGTCTTGAACCATCCCACAGACATGCAGGAAGAACTTGGGGGCTGGAGTCCCTCATATCAGAAGGATTCATTTAAATTACGAGAATACGGCTTTTTGTTAGTGAAACTGAATTCCCTGATGCCATGCCTTGGCTCCCACATAGCCCTCTCAGCTCACCGGCAGATGTCCACCAGCTGGTCCAGCTCAGGGCAGCTGCACTCATACATGTCCCGGCAGCTTCTGTGGCTCTGGTTCATCAGCTCTCCCAGCAGCTGGACCGCATTGTCGGGTGCTTCTTCGCACACCTGCTTAAATTGCAGCACACGCGCAGCCTCACTGTACACATGCTTTGCCCGCTGGTAGAGCTTGAAGGTGAGCTCTGAGGAAGGATGGACATGGGGAAAGATGTAAGAAAGGGTTATAGGCCTACACAGTGCCAAGAAAGAAGGATGGGGTTGTGTGTATATGTGTGTGTGTGTGTGTGTGTGTGTGTGTGTGTGTGTGTGTGTGTGTGTGTAGCACAGGCTAGCTGACTCAAGATTCTCCTGCTTCAACCTTCAGAGTGCTGGGATTAAACAGGTCTGAACCACCACACCTACCTACCTACCTAATACACCATTGTGAGGGCTTCTGTTACTGTCTTCACTGTGAGTACCTGAGATCTTAGCCAGTCTCTATTTCACTGAGTTGGTCCTAGCTAAAAACCATCTCCTGGGAAATCAGTTTTACTTCTCCATGAATACTGATCACACACACACACACACACACACACACACACACACACACACCACACCCACACACACACACACACACACACCACCTTGCCATGGCAAGGGAGAGGCAGCAGTATTGTTAACCACCTTGGACTTGAGATTTTCTTTGGTCGATGACTGTATATCCTCTAGTGAGTCTTCAACACCTGAGATTCTCTCTTCCATCTCTTGTATTGATGTTCTATTTACATCAGTGGTTCCTGATAGTTTATCCAGCTTTTCTATTTCCAGCATCCCCTCATTCTGTGTTCTCCTTATTGTTTCTAATTCTGCTTTCAAACCATGAACTGTTTGAATTGTTTCCTTTACTTGTTTGGTTGTTTTTTCTTGGCTTTCTTTAGATTCTTTAAGAGATTTGTTTATTTCTAGAATTTTTTGGTTTGTCTTTTCCTCCATTTCATGTTATTTTTTGCTTGTTTTTTCTTCTATTTCTTTAAGGTATTTTCTTGTTTCCTCTTTAATGGTCTCTATCATCTTCATAAGATAATTTTTTAAGGTTCATCTCTTGTTCATCCTCTGCATTAGGCTTTTCAGATCTTGCTGGTGTGGAGTCCCTAGAGTCTGGTGGTGTCATATTGGTCTTTCTGTTGTTAAGTGTGTTCTCATTCTGTCATCTTCCCATCCCTTCTTCCAGTGGGTGCAGGTGGGGTCTCCTCAAGCATAGGGCAGAGGGCAGAGGGGGAACCAAGAGTGAGGTGTGTTCGGACTCAAGGTAGGCCTTCTGGTCTGGGTGGGTCCACTCTACTCGAGGGGCAGGCTCAGGAAGAAGCGAGGAGGGTGTAGTGGAGAAAGTAGGGGGCAGAAGAGCACCCAGACTCACCTCAGGTGGCAGGCAAAGAGCAGAGAGCAGAGCGGGGACAAGGGTGAGGTGTGGCCAGACTTATTGTGTCATTTGCAGCAGCATGGGGAGATGAGCAGAACCACGGCTGCCTAACAAGAGACCTGGTGGGTTCGGTGACTTGGTGGGTGCGGTGATCTGATCATATGGCAGACCAACAGGCCAAGGATGCTGCATGATAACGCCATGTTCTTCCCAATGTGCCCCACCAAAAAGTCTCCTGAAAATATGTATACCAGTAACTGTGTTTACAGAAATGTATCCAAAAGTGGACTTGTTGGGAAGATGGGTATCAGTCAGAGATGCTGGGAGAGAGAGGTGGGGGTGAAAATGATGAAAATTTATTGTATTCATGTATGGCACTACCAAGGAATCAACAATGGAAATGTACTTAGAGAAATGGATAAGCACACTACTTATATATGTATATAATTTTATTTACACTTAACATACAGTTATATGTTACTGTATCAATAATCATAACTAAAATGTAAATAATCCAATAATAATAACAGAGAACTATTTCAAAAAATAAATACTACATCCATTAAAAATATTATGGCTATTAAAAACTCAAATTCTTGGATAAGGAAATTGCCAGACAGGAAATTTCTCAACATTGAAGGAAATGACAACACAATAGCCTATGTATAACTAATACTAACCGCAGCACACACGAGCACACACATACAGAGTAGTCTACAGAAATCACATGTCAACAGTGCTTATCTCTATGACCCATCATGGATGAACTTATTATCCTCTTAAAACAGCTCTGGATTCTGCAAAGCCCTCAATGACTGCTAACTGCAGTGACACACCCTATTCAACCACAATGGCTGCATCATGTTTGGCTCATTGCCAGGGTAACAACTGAGACCATAAGACATGCTGAATAGTGTGGGAGATAGTGTGGTGGGTGGGTCTCAGGCAGGACAGGGAAATTCATGGATGCCCTCTAGCCACTAGAGTAGTTGCAGGGATGGAAGTGAGAAGGTGACAGTCCCTCAGCTGTGGAAACCAGCTGTGACCAATTTGCTTTCTCTGCTGGACTCTATTTCCTGGGCTCTGAAATAAGATTGAGATTTACTTCTCAGGATCCTCTGGCTTTGCCCTCTGATAATGCATGTGAGACTTCCTCTCTGCATGACCTTCCAGGGTCCCTGTAGGCTACCTGCACTGTGGTGAAGAGGCTCTTTATAATGATGGCCACTTGTGTCTGTGCCCTTAGTTCCTCACTCTCCCCTACAGGCTGACCAGGAGGGATCACACCAGGGGTTCCTTGCTGTCTTGCCAAAGGATGGGAGAAAATCAGCAAGAAATGGAAGGGAAGAGAGTAAGCACAAAAGATTTACTTCTTGACTCTGTTGTGTTATATCTGTGTCGTGGTCATTCTGTTCTGTAACCTGTGTCTGAGTCAACACTGCCAGGCTAAGCTCCCCCAACAAAGCCCTGCTCATGTCAGTTACTGTCTCAATCCACAGCCATTTTCCCAATGTTTACTATAGTCCACACTTGATCCCATCAGGGCCTCTTCCTTCAGCCAAACTACTCCATCTGTAGTTGCTATAACAGACTTTACTTTTGGATAGACTCATTCATCACACAAAGAAATGGCTTCTTGACCTCTCTCTCTCTCTCTCTCTCTCTCTCTCTCTCTCTCTCTCTCTCTCTCTCTCTCTGTCAAAACTTTACCTCATTCTGAAGGCTCGAATTACATTTTACATCATCCTTGAGGCCATGAGGGCTCAGCTGGAAATAATTTTTTGACTGACTTTGTACCATGCTTGCAGCCCATGCTCATCTGAGGCTTATGTACTTTCCATCATGGAATTTCTCAGAGCTTGGCAAAGGTTGTGCAGGTCCTGAAGACAGACATTTAGTCTCTTCGCTCCATGCACCCCCAAAAGCAATGCTCACTCCCTAGCACCTCAACAATGCCTTCCATGGTAGAGCCCAGAGGGAAAATTGGGACTTTACTTTCACCTCCAATTCAAAATCAAAATACTTCCATCTGGGATCGCTAGTTTGTTTAAGCAGAGAAGGAAAAGAAGGAGGCACTACTGACAACTAAGTGTTGAGACAGAGGAAAAAGGTGGCCAACAGGGTCCCCTTTGTTAGTAAATCTGTAGCTGCTGACACCAAGTGTGGTTGAAAAATAAGAAAAATAAAGAGAAGCCACTGGTTAAATGTAGGTGGGGAGACACAGAACATGTTTTGTTCCATTGGTAGCCAAGTCATGTGAGTCACCCACACTGTGCTGTCAATTTGCTGTGTCCATAGTCAGTTCCACTGAAATGGGAGAATTCATTCTAGGACAGCAATGTCAAAACGTACCAAGAGTGGAGGGAGCTTTACCAACACAAAATACTGGCAGATATCCTCCTCAAAACTGCACCAATTGAAGAAACAGTACAGGGGATGTTGGCAGCCATTCAGAAAAGAAAAAAAAAAAAAAAGGACAGTTGGTTGACATGTGGCATGGTTTGAAAGAGAAATGTTCCCACGTAGGCTCATGTAATGGAACTCTTAGTCTCCAGTTGTAATGCTATTTGGAGAATGTTATAAAATTCTAATGGAACTCTGATGAAGGAAGGAAGTCCATCACAGGGGAGGCTTTGGGGATTTGCCACCTTGCCCACTTCCTGCTTTTCCTCAGCTTCCTGTGCAGATAAAGGGTAACCAGTCATTACGGACTCTCTAGAACCATAAGCCAAAATACACTCCCTTCTGTAAGTTGCTTTTGGCCATGGTGTCTCAACCCAGCCACAGAAAAGGAAGCAACACAGGTATTCTGAAGATGAGTCCCAAATGCTTACTTTGTGCATGCTTAATATGATACAAACCGTAGAATGTGTATGAGGAACAAAAATGGCCTTGGCAATGTACTTTAACATTACTGCTTTTTAAAATGAGGTTAGAAGTCAAGGGTATAATCCTAACAGGTTGTATTATGTATTTAGGAGTGCGCACATGCACACACACACACACACACACACACACACACACACAACAACAACAATAATAACAACAACGACAACAATTAATGGAAAAGGGTGCCATGGATTTGAAAGATGGCAAGGAGGGGTATTAGGGAGGGCTAGAGGGGAGGAAATGAAGGGGGGAAACTATATAACTATATTAAAATATCAAAAATTTTAAAAGTGAAAAAATATAAACAAAAATAAAACATTAAATTTGAGGTTGAAACAAAAACTTTAAAATAACAACTTGAGGGTTTCATATATTTTACTTTTGAACAATGTCACCTCTCATAGTCACAGAATCACTGTCATGTCCTGTGAAGGAAGCCACACCCTCTGAGAGCACAGAGCAATGCTGACTGGGTGACAGATCCCTGGACCATACTGTGTCGTGAAAACATTCATTAAGTATCAGTAGAACAGTTCCACACAGATAGAACAGTGGAGAACAGAGCAGCACAGGCTACCATCTTCCTTATTTTCACCTTCCTTTTCTGAGGCAACTGCTATCCTGATGACGCATTTTAGACAGATTATTCATGGCATATATTTTTTCCTTACCTTCTTAAGTATGACCCTCTATAAAATAAGGACACACCGTCATTATCAACCTAACACAATAACCCGGGATCCTCTAAGGTCTTGTGTACCCAGTCCATGGTTCAGTTTTCCCAGGTGTTCCCACTTAAAGTATCAGTTGGTTTACAAACAAACCAAAAGCCCATCATCCCAGAAGAAAGCTGGCTCCTCCATCCCTAAGCCTGGGTAAGCCCTCTGGTAGGTT